TTTTTTTTTTTTTTTTTTTAATTTTTTTTTTCTTTTTCCTTTGAGAAAGCCTCGAAAAATACTGTGTTTTGAAGAAAGGACAAAGTAAGGAACATCCTTTACAAAGTATGAACTCAGGAGGCTGAGACCAGCCTGGCCAGCATAGCAAGATCCTGTCTCTTTAAAAAAAAAGTTTGAGTAGCTAAAACTATGAAACTTGAAGGAAATATAGGAAAATTTTTAGTGACTTGAGTCTGGCAAAGAGTTCTCAAATAGTGTTTGTTTGTTTTTGAGACAGGGTCTTGCTCTGTTGCCGAGCCTGGAGTATAATGGTGAGATCATAGTTCAGTGCAACCTTGAACTCTTGGGCTCAAGCAGTCCTCCTGCTTGGCCTCCCAAAGTGCTGGTATGAGCCACTGTGCTTGGTCCTTTTTTTCCATTATAAAACTGCAAAGTAGGCCAGAGTGCCGTGGCTCACGCCTATAATCCTAACCGAGGTGGGTGGATTGCTCAAGGTCAGGAGTTCCAGACCAGCCTGAGCAAGAGTGAGACCCCATCTCTACTAAAAATAGAAGTTAATTGGCCAACTAAAAATACATAGAAAAAATTAGCTGGGCATGGTGGCACATGCCTGTAGTCCCAGCTACTTGGGAGGCTAAGGCAGCAGGATCGCTTGAGCCAGGAGTTTGAGGTTGCTGTGGATAAGCTGATGCCACGGCACTCTAGCCAGGGCAACAGGAGAGAGACTCTGTCTCAAAAAAAAAAAAAAAACCTACAAAGTATAATGATAATGCAGATTATCAGTAGTTGCCTAAAGATCATGTGTGTGTGGTGGTGGTTTTGGGATAAATTTTTAAAAGAAATGGGGTGGGAGGTGTTTGTAAGAAGTAGAAACTGACTCTGGCTGACAAAAAATGAATTCACTGGAAGAATGTGGTGCCTCCAAGAAGCAGAAGCCAGGCTGCTCTCAGGACCTACAATAGGTACTAATCAACTTATCTTGGGTTCTCTGAGATGATTTTTCTTTTTATCACTTTACATAAAATTCAAAGTTCCCTGAAACAATCCGATTGGCATAGCCTGGCTTAGGTTACCACTCTTGGGAAAGTTGATTTGCAGTTCTCTTAAGACTGTATACCATGGGCAGATATTCCCCCAAATAGTTGAAGTGTTAAGAAGAATTATAATGAGCCAAAAGTGGCAAACATTCACACAACTGGCTTAGGTGCCCTTGCACCTTTGCTTTTTTTAAAAATTCCCTTCCTACCTTACTACCTTCAAGATATTTCAGTTTCATTTTAGGTTTTAGCTAATTGGGTTGTTAGCTCAATCAAGAAGGATAGGAATTGGTATATAAATATCTGAGCTTTTGGGACCTATTAAAATAACTCTGAGGTATGTGTTGTATATTTACCAGAATAGTTCCCCATGGGATTAAAAGTTCCATGTACCTATGTGGTAACTTCTTCAAAAACATCTTTTTGTTGGCTTCCTTCCCTTCTCTGTTGCTAGTTCCTATATCACCTCTCAGATAACATCTTTGCATTCAAATCTTTATCTCTGATTTCTTCAGGGAAAACATAAGTGTTAGGAGAGAAGAGCTTAGAAGGGACAGCAAGAAATAACTGTTAAACTTTGGTAAACTGCTTTAAAATTCAAGGCTTAGCATAAAAATGCCTCAGGCCCCATCTGAACCTTGTATTTGACCTCCTTTAACTTAAAAAGGTGCCAGGCAAAATAGAATTTGAATAAAACATTGTGTCTAGACTGTCTTTAAAGCTATTCTTCTGTAGATAAATTTAACAAAGTTTCTCTAAGCCTGCAGTCTCCAACCCCTGGGCCATGGACCAGTACCAGTCTGTGGCCCGTTAGGGACCAGGTCACAGAGCTCCCACCATTTCCCACTCTCCACCGGCCTGTGGAAATTGTTTCCATGAAACTTAGGAATGGGTGGTGGGCCACAGCAGGTGAGCAGAGGGTGAGTAAGCAAAGACATTCCCATTGCTTGCATCACTGCCTGAGCTTCACCTCCCACCCACTCCCAGTCTGTGGAAAAATTGTCCCTGGTGCCAAAAGGTTGGGACCGCTGCTCTAAGCATTGTCAGAAGAGAGGCCTTCATCAATTTCTTGTTAAACATGTAATTGAACATAACTAGTTTCCCTCTCTCTAACTCCGTTAAAATGACAGTAAACTATAAGATACATAATCCCATACTGACAAAGCTGGAGTCTACAGAAGATGAGGAAAAGTACAAGGAACAGAATAAAGAAAGCCAACAATGTGTGTGCTTGTATTGAGAAATGTTAAACATACAGAGGAAAGTTTGGGAATAATTAGTGATAGGTATCCAGAAATAAGCAAAAAACAAAGCAACAGAATTCCGAAGAAATAGTTGTACGAGGAAGGAAATATAATCCCTACTATACCATGTGACTTGGCTATGAAAAATAGTGGAAATAATCTGTTTTAATCAATTGTGACATAATTATTTGAAAGAGAAGAGGAGACAAGTGGAGGTAGGCAAGGGAGTGTTAGAATGCCAAGTCCTCATCTATGTTAAGTAAAAGAATCCTAAAATTGAAAAATGTAAAGAATTAGTAATATACGTAAATTATTTAGAAATATAGGGGCAAATACCTGAAGAAACTAAAGAATTCAAATGGTTTCCTCTGGGAGTATGAGTGAGGAAGGGGCTACAGAGGACTGGTAGCCTCCCCTCACTTGAGGCTTGCATTATTTGACTTTTTAAACTATGTGTATAACTTTGAGAGAAAAAAATTTAATTGAAAAGCATTTTAGAAAAGTAATCCTGACAGTCACCCAGTCTCTAAATGGGCTTCTGAATTCCAGCCTTAGTCTACTCCTATCAACTGGAGTCTAGTTGAGAAACTGCATTCCACAATTCACAAAATCCAAAGGACGGAAACCTATGGTTGCTCAACAGAACCACAGATTTTTTCTGGTTCTAAGGGCTGAGAAAATCTACTCCCATCCTCCTGAAGGGGACCCATAAGATGATGTTATTACATCCGTCACAACTTCCTACAATAAATACAAGTGAGGATCACGAACTACACTAATTCTTTCTTTTTTTTTTTTTTTTGAGACAGAGTCTCACTTTGTTGCCAGGCTAGAGTGAGTGCCGTGGCATCAGCTAGCTCACAGCAACCTCAATCTCCTGGCTCAAGCGATCCTCCTGCCTCAGCCTCCAAGTAGCTGGGACTACAGGCATGCACCATTATGCCGCTAACTTTTCTATATATTTAGTTGGCCAATTAATTTCTTTCTATTTTTTTAGTAGAGATGCGGGTCTCATTCTTGCTCAGGCTGGTTTCGAACTCCAGACCTTGAGCAATCTGCCTGTCTGGCCTCCCAGAGAGCTAGGATTACAGGCGTGAGCCACCAAGCCCGGCCTACGCTAATTTCTTACAGCCCCTCTGTGAAAGGTAGAAGCTAACATTAAAGCACAGCTCAGTCAAAGCAAGGCTGTGAAAGATGAAAGTGCATATCCAATCTTTGGTGGTGCAGTTAAAGCTAGAGGTAGGTGTTAATGTAGCTGAGAAACAAACAGGTACATATCCCTTAGGCTCTTTTACATCAACATTATTTTATTTATTTTTGAGACAGGATCTTGCTCTGTAGCCAGGCTGGAGTGCAATGGCCTGATTATAGCTCACTGTAACCTTGAACTGGGCTCAAGCGACCCTCTGCCTCAGCCTCATGAGTAGCTGGGACTACAGGTACATGCCAGTATGCCTGGCTAATTTTTATTTTTTATAGAAATAGGGTCTTGCTATGTTGCCCAGCTGGTCTGGAACTCCTG